AAATATTTACAATTGAACAATTTGAGTCTAATGACAAATCATGGACCTGACAGCTTAAAAATACTAAGCCAAGTGATTTTGTGTAATTTTGTCCACAGTCTGGTGAGACTGATGCAGTTGGGGGTGAGGAGAGGTTCTGGCAGATGCTCGAGGCTCAGAGGAAAGGCAAGACGGACGTTTAATCAAAATGCTACTGGCACCATTAGTATCGGAACTCTTCACTGGCTGCTGAAGATGGGGACGGAGCGCTTATGAGAATGTCCCGAGTGCTGTGATGTCGGTTATTGAATCAAATCAAATCAAATCAGTGTATTTTTGTGGTATTGTTGTATGTATTTTGTGCTGATGAAGGCTCCTTAACCGCAAAACTCACGATTTGTTTGTGCTCCTTAAATTTTGAAGCTTGCTGATATAATTTTCGTCGGTTTTATATCTTTTCTTGAAACTACCTAACAAGGCAGGCCGATTGGCTGGATCTGCACCACTGGGTGGTGAATTGATACATGACAAAGCATTTGTGGTCAAGGCCCTTTAGAAACAATTAACGAAGTCAGAAGAGAAAATAGATTGTCATGGCCTGGAGAGAATGATACACTTGGGTGTGACCAGAGAGCCTGGCCGGCACACTATACTCAGAGGAAAGGCAAGATGGACATATAATCAGACTGCGCCCGGTACCATTAAAATTTGAACTCTGCGCTGGCTGCTGATAGAGACGGAGCACATATGATATTGCCCCGAGTGCTGTCATGTCTTTCTTGACTCAGCTCAACTCAGTTGAACATAAATGACAACAAATAAATTTACTTCATCGATTAAATTATTATGCATCACGCCTCTGAAAAAAAAAAACCCCAGAAATTCAGATGTCTACTGCAAAATCTAAAATTTCAGTCTACTTATTTACAATGGTTTAAAAAGATCAAAGGAATTGGCTGATATTCAGCATCCTGAGCATCGATGGACTTTAAAATACCACTATTTTTGCGTCATGGATATAATAAGACTGCATGCAGAAAACCATTGTGATTTAAAGGGCAGTTTTCGAGAAAATGGCTGGCAAGTTTGTTTATCAATTGTTGAACGAACTATAAACGAAAAGTAAAACCTGTCAGTTTCACAAACACAAACTAAAAATAAACTTTGCGGCTTGAATGCCTTCATCCGCAAATTACACAATTCTTCAGTATATACTAAATCACTTAACTGACATATCTCTAGGAAAAATCAGATTTCTGCCTGCTCAGTAAACGATTGACGCGTGTATGGCCACCGGAAAGACACTGGCCAGGGAAAAATAACCGCAAGATACTAGACACAGCTTTGTTGGAAGTTATTTTCCCTGGGTGAATTGCCACCCATGAGATGACTAAGGCAGTTATCGAGAGACTTACGGACTTTGTCACTGAAGTGGCTAGTCCTGATGACCGTTATGTCCATGTTGAGAACACCTTGGTGATCTTGAGAATTGAAGTGAAACGGCACTGGTTTTCAGAAACAAATGTTACCTGCACATTTGAGTTAGTTGTAGCCCTGTTTTAGCGATGTAATTCAAATCGCATCTTTTGCAGATGATTACGTAGATAACAATAACGTAAATAACGTGCAATAGAATGCTTCAAGTATGTAGAAGGTGGCACTGGAGAATTCAATACTCTCCGCTCAAATCACATATGGACAAACACTGAAAAGATCAAAATTATTATTTGCCTTAATGTAAATGTATATTAAGTATACTGTATAATTCACTTATAATTAATAACCATGTACTCGGGGTGTGTGGTCTCAGGGCATGGCGTCCGCCTCGAGTACTGGAGGTCCCGGGTTCAGGCCTTGGTGAAGGCTGGGATGTTTTCACGTGGACATCTAGTAATTTCCCCTGGTCTCGGTGTAGTAAGATCGAACGCCAGTGTGTATTGTTGAGCATGTAAAAAATTTCTTGGCATTTGGAAAATGGAAAAGAGTACCCAAATGGCTCCCCCCCCCCCTCCCCCCCCCCGCAAAATTTGAAGTTAAAAATCTACCCAAAGTATTTCAGGATCCTCGCCGGTGCTACAGAGTTCGTACACTGCACTGACTTTTCTTCGGACTCAGGCTTTGGTCAGAAGCAGAACGGAGCATTTATGGGTTACCCTTTGTGGCATGATTTTGATCCGCTGTCTAAACCTAAACCTGCAACAAAAAAAAAATTTTTTTTACTTCTTTTTTTTTTTTTTTTTTTGTGTTGTTGTTGCTTGAAATACATTATCTAATTCTGCAATGCAGTCTCTAGTATGAACTTCACTGATCATTCTAACACATTGCAGTGTTTGTAACCAATATCTAGTTGTTCTTCGATAAAGACGTATTCACCCTTGACTACAGGCTGCTTGGTACGCACTAGAACGTCCCCGTGTGGGATGTAATTTTTCGTTATTTTGAAGCCACCACCCTGGCTTTTTCCGGGTGTCCTAAATATAGCCGGGCCATAAATAGTGCCTAACGGCTGAACGGAGTTTTCAGGAGATTTTCGCGGATTATATTCATCTGCCTGGTGGCACTTTGTGTCACCGGGTGTTTATCGCTTCTGTGATGTCCTAGTGGGGTACAGCTTACCTACCTAGGCTGCTTGGTAACCGGTTTGTGATGGACCGCCCAATATAACAGTCCTATATGGATGTACGGTTGAAGGGGGTTTCTGCGATCTGTACCTGTTTGATTCTCATACTTGGAGTGTTATTCCTACAGCTTTCAATACTGTAGGAACATTTAAAAAACACATTATATGTTGTAGATTATGTTTGCAGTTTCTGCGATTTGTACCTGTTTTGATTCTTATACTTGGTATATTAAAGAAAGAAAGAGTTAAAACAGAAAAAAAGAAAGAAAGAAAGAAAGAAAAGAAAGAAAAGAAAGAAAGAAAGAAAGAAAGAAAGAAAGAAAGAAAGAAAGAAAGAAAGAAAGAAAGAAAAAAGAAAAAAGAAAGAAAGAAAGAAAGAAAGAAAGAAAGAAAGAAAGAAAGAAAGAAAGAAAGAAAGAAAGAAAGAAAGAAAGAAAGAAAGAAAGAAAGAAAGAAAGAAAGAAAGAAAGAAAGAAAGAAAGAAAGAAAGAAAGAAAGAAAGAAAGAAAGAAAGAAAGAAAGAAAGAAAGAAAGGCAACTGAAACTTTTAATCCTTTCTTTTTTTATATAATTAGATAATAAAACAAATTTCGATTTGAATCATCATCATCAGGGTAAGTTTTTATAACCGACTAGTCGCTTTCAGTCTAACCCAGCCTAAAACTGAGACACTGAAATGTCCGGGGAAGTAAAGGCGGCAAGTATGATACAGATCATACTAATCATTGAATGCTGATTGGGGCACTGTACAGGAAGTGCGTCAACATGTTATAAAGTTCGATCAGAAAACTCAAGAGGGCTGCGTGCTCTCGAGGCATGGTGTCCGCCTCGAGTACTGGAGGTTCCGAGTTCAATTCCCGGTAAGGACTGGGATTTTTTATGTAAACCTAGGACTTCTAGTAATGCCCCTGGTCTCTGGGTAGTGAGATCGGACGCCCGTGTGCATTGTTGCGCAGGTAGAAAATCCCTTGGAAATCGAAAAGAGTAGCTTAACGGTGCTGCTCGGGCAAAATTTGCAGTTACAAATCTAATCAAAGTATTTTAGGATCCTTGCTGGTGTTACAGAGCTTGTGCACTGTGCACTTTTTCGGACTCAGACTTGAATTAGAAGAAGAACGAAGAACTTATGTATTACACCAGTGTGCCATGATGTTGATCCGTTGTTCGAAATCTTGAAACCTCCAAGCACAAAACTCGTTGCAAAGAAAGAACGTTTTGACCACGATCTTTATCAATAAACAGTACACAAATAGAAACGGAATGAAGAGGCTCCAAGAAGTATTAATTTTTTGTTTTTGTTTTTGGATGTCAAGTTATCTACTTGTTTGTAGGATCGGTGTATTTTGCTTCTTTGTCTGAGTGTTATTGGTAATTTGTTTGCTGATGAACATTTTGCTAAAATATTTTATTATTCTTGTTGTTGTTGTTGTTGTTGTTGTTGTTGTTGTTGTTGTTCTTCTTCTTCTTCTTCTTCTTCTTCTTATTATTATTATTATTATTATTATTATTATTATTATTATTATTATTATTATTATTATTATTACTATTATTATTATTAATATTATTATTATTATTATTATTATTATTATTATTATTATTATTATTATTATTATTATTATTATTATTCTCCGCCGTGTAGGTTCTGGGGCCCCATTGCAGGGACAACAAGAAAAGAGTCGATCCACTAGGAGCTTCATTAGAAGTCGGAGTGCATCTGACGGAGCTGCAAGGAACAACCAGCTGACCACAAATAAGACAGTAAAACTGATGCACACGCGAAACTCAGGCCCTTGTACAAAGCTCAAGTCCACATGGACGAACAACCAGGACTTTCTGCCGGAGCTTACAGTCGGTAAGCAAAGATTACTTCTACTGCTGCTACTACTACTACTACTACTACTACTACTACTACTACTACTACTACTACTACTACTACTACTACTACTACTACTACTACTACTACTACTACTACTACTACTACTACTACTACTACTATTACTACTACTACTACTACTAATACTACTGCTACTACTACTACTACTACTTCTGCTGCTGCTACTACTACTACTACTGCTACTACTACTTCTGCTGCTATTACTGTTGCTACTACTACTACTACTACTACTACTACTACTACTACTTCTTCTGCTGCTGCTGCTGCTGCTACTACTACTACTACTACTACTACTACTACTACTACTACTACTACTACTACTACTACTACTACTACTACTACAACTACTACTACTACATCTCACAATTTTACTTTTACTATTGTCAGTGTATTTCTCTTTTCTCTCAGTTTTCTAGGTAAAATTTTACGTTCATGCGTGTTCTTTACGTCGTCTAAATCCTTTTTGTGGTTTACTCCGTACTAAAAAAAAACAATGATTCTGAGGTCATGATTCCAATACTACATTCTGAGATCATGATTCCAATACTACATTCTGAGATCATGATTCCAATACTACATTCTGATGTCATGATTCCAATACTACATTCTGATGTCATGATTCCAATACTACATACTGAGGTCGTGATTCCAATACTACATTCTGAGGTCATGATTCCAATACTACATTCTGATGTCATGATTCCAATACTACATTCTGATGTCATGATTCTAATACTACTTACTGAGGTCATGATTCCAATACTACATTCTGAGGTCATGATTCCAATACTACATTCTGATGTCATGATTCCAATACTACATTCTGATGTCATGATTCTAATACTACATACTGAGGTCATGATTCCAATACTACATTTTGAGCACACGATGCAAAACATGATCTGTTAAATGAGGGGCCACTTTTAACTGATCATGTGGCCATGATTATTTTGGCCGCCTTCACTTACGGCGGCATTTCCTGATATCCTGTAAGATTATGTCGACCTGAGAGCCCAGACCAAGTTAATAGCTAATAGAACAGGAGGCATACAATGATACAAGTAGGATAGTTAGCTGACACACACACACACACACACAGAGAGAGAGAGAGAGAGAGAGAGAGAGAGAGAGAGAGAGAGAGAGAGAGAGAGAGAGAGAGAAAGAGAATAACAAACAGATGGATAAACAGCAGCCTGAAAGAATGTACAACCAGGACGGAGACACTGGGCGATTTACAAGAGCCATTACTGCCAACCTTCCCTGGGAAGACGACACCTGACTAATTTCTCTATGTGAGTAAACAATACACAACCAATGTTCGGTATACTCTCACAAGAAAATTAATACCGAAATCATTAAATCAGGTGTTTATCGTGTATTTCTCTGCACCCACCATTTACCACCCGCCCCCGAGCGCGCCCGCTCTCTCTCTCTCTCTCTCTCTCTCTCTCTCTCTCTCTCTGCAAAACGGTTAGCCGACTACAGAGAGCATCAACACGCACGAACTCCTTAGCTCATACGACCAACCCCAGGGACATAAATGCGAACTGCGCTTGTAAACCGGACGACGTAATCTATGAATCGAGCACACGACCTTCAGAGCACGAGGCAAACAGCTCCACCACTTAACCAGCAAGACTCCTACAACAAGTCATCCCCCGTAGTCCTGTAACTTTGCACCGCCAAGGACCACACCATGAGAACCCCGCCATGTGGATTTGACAGGTCTTATTTTCATCTGCTTTTGTTGCTGGCCCTCGTGCATATTTTATTTGCCACTGTGGTTTCCAAATTAGCGTCTTCTTCGTTTTGCCTACGGGTATTATTGTTTGCGCAAAAGCCAAGGGTTTCGGGGAAGGAAAGGGGTAGCCGCAACAAAAGGTTATTCTGACACCAATATCTCAACTCCCTTTCCCTCAATATCCATAGTATTTTCCTAGCTATTAACAGTCTTGTTAGGGAAATATTCCGGCAGATTTAAACATAGCTTACAACAAATAACGCGCCAGAAAAACTATCCTCCGAGGTTCCGATCGGCAACCGTCTCAAATCCACTTCACCCGAAGGCGGTACTTGCCAGCCCCGCAATGACGTAAATATGGGTCTATGGCCCCACCCACAAAGCCAGGCAAGGTTGTCCTCCACCTTCTCATTTGCGAAACTAATGATCATCATTAGGAATCCTAATGGCGGAAGTCAGGCCAGACGTTCGCCGCGTTGAAAACACACGTGGCGGAGTTGTGCGTTCCTATGTAACCTCTGTTGAGTTCTCACACGAAATTTCGCATCAGTTCCTTCTGCGCCTTGACGCTTCTCTGTTGAACGGAGATGTCTTTGTCGGGGTTGGGTGCCACCAACGTCCGGGGCCGATTTTTCTTGACATAACCGTCTTGTCAACAGAAGATGGCCGCCATGAAATTCACACCAACATTTAGGGACAATGCAGGGGCACGTTCTAAATTGAATTGTTGATGTATGGAAACGGCAATGATAGATTAACATGAATTTGTGATTTTCCTCCATGCAACAACTATACGAGGACTATCCCTTTCACCAATTTTCATTCACAATGGACAATGAAGAGACGCAGACTAGACCGCGTTCTAGAATGGATTGAATAACAGAACTTTATGGCAAACTAACAGAAAGAAAAAAAAACCACAACGTCATTTGAATAGAAAACATAACAAAAATAAATAAACATGTAAAATAATTTTCAACATTAAAACGATTGTCGGTTGTACTGTTCTTTTCCCCTGCGTGAGGTCTAATGTACGATTGTGCGGAAATCATGAATAGACCCACTGCCTCCACGACAAGCGTGTCGCAAGAGCCGACTCATTTTGGAGGGGGTGGGGTTTCGCTTAGAAGTCGGAGTGCATCTGCTTCAGAGGTACAAAACCACAAGTCTGCATACACAAATAAGCCAGATCCTTACAATGAATGTGAATCGCAACTCAGGTTCTGGAACAAGAATAAAATCCAGAAGTGGATGAACCACCAAAATTTTCCGCCGGAGTTTACAGTCGGTGAACATAAAGAAGAAACAGAAGTGTTGTTCTTGTGTAGGCTCATCACGAATAAAGAACTGAGGATGAAAATAATATGTTCACCACAAGCAAACATCCTTTTCTTCTTCTTCTGTTTTTCTCACCCCCAGTGGAGCATAGGTCTACAACCAACTCACGCCAAGTCGTTCTATTCCTTCGCTATCGCTTGCAGCTCTCTCCATGTCCTTTCCATTTCTAACTTCATTCTCTAGCTCCATTCTCCATGTGTTTTAAAGCCTACCTTTATTTATGTGCCTCTGTGGGTTTCCACTGCAAGGACATTTTAGTTATATTGCAAACATTAACACAGGGCAAAAGCGGAGATGGGTTGGACATGTTTGTAGAATGCCTCATGACAATTTCTGAAGGACAGATAACCAATAGACGGCGGATATAAAAACATAGGAGACGTGAATGACCGTAAAAAACCTGGAGAAGGACGGTAGAGAGGGGAATGAACAAATGTAAAATGGCATGGAATAGTAAAAGTAAAAAAGTAAAGGACTCTTTTCTACACCTTCAGGCTATTGGGCATATAGGGCTAGACCTATATTTTATAGACCAATCGGCACTAGTTGAATGATTTGGTCAGCATCGCGTAGGCTATATTTACTTCTCATGACATCACCTGGTACCCACTCAAGGCTGGCTCCGCCAGGACCCAAACCCAAGACCTTCCGATCCGCAGGCGAGCCTCTAGCAGCTCGGGATGACATTGGAAATCACAGACATAAATGCAGCAGATCAGCAGAAGTGGGTATCATCTGTGATTGCCGATTGTGTCAACAAGACAAGAAGACCGGATGTTATTACAGTCGACGTCACCGGGAATTCCCCCAAACTAGTCTGCACAGCGTTGTTGATATCAGCTCTGTCCATGCGTCTTGCCATTTGCATTGGTGCATTACTTACACCGAGGGTTTCTTAGCAATAGGGAAATTAGCAACAGGACGAAAATTGCTGTTTACCGCTCTACCTATGTACCAGTCCTGACCCATGGGTGTGAGACATGGGCAATGACAACAGCTCACAGAAGCCAGCTTCAGGCCTCAAAATTGAGATATCTGAGAAAGGTGGTCCAAGCGACAAAAAGGGACAAAGTCCGCAATCAGACAATACGTCAAGATCTTGATACCCAGTCCTTACAAACCCGAGTCGATCAGTCACAGTTACGATGGTTTGAACATGTATGCAGAATGAGAGAAAATCGGCCACCATGGCAGGCATGGGAAGCTAAGAACCAGGGAACCAGCGCACCCAGGACGATCCAGGGTGCCCTGGGAAGACAACATCCGACAGTCCCTAACTGATGGATGACTGGAATGGAACAAAGCCAGAAATAAAACTGCTGATAGAGACGTCTGGCGATCTCTCTGGCAAACCTCTACATCCCAACGTAGAAGAGGAGCGACTAAGTACGTAAGCATTACTTGCCAGCTGGTCAACTCTTTCATTACCTTTTACTCGTGCGTTGCCAGCTGTTTACATCCAGATGATATATGTTTACTGCGACTACCGAATGCTTTCTACACATTCAGAGCGTAAACTATCTGTACTGATTTTCTGAAGCATGTTCATGGAGTCAGAAATGATTACCGTATTTGTGACCGCTTGTTCTGCTACCCATACGACTGCCCTGGAAGCAGCAGTTAACTCCATGGTCGTGCCTGACGTAGTTGCCTGGTAAGCGCCACTATCCTCATTTACTTTATTCCTCATCCTTTGTGGTGTGTGGGCTCGAAATTTGCCTAGAAAAATCACACAACAGCCAGGGGTTGTTAGGTTTGGTTCTGCAACGTCCTGTAAAGGATACGCAACTAACTTTTGTGTTGTGTATGGTCATGCTGACCTTGACCCGCCAGGACCTGTCTGTGTAAATAGTGATATATCCTGAGTATGAAGGTTGATCAATCAGCGCCCTTATCCTTGATATAAATATATAAATATATATAGATTTGAATATATAGAATTTATGTAGCTCGTTAAGAGTTCTAATGAAAATAAGGTTCCTTCGTTTTCTTCGTCGTCTTAGTTAACAAAGAAAGATTGCAAAGAATAGTCTTAATTTTACAAAATCTTGGACTTGCTATTCTACATTTAAATAATAATTTTCTATATTTCATAAAAGTTTTATTTTCCCCGTCTTGACCGCATTAACGTTATTTAGTCAATGATCACAGTCCCATAATAATAATGTTAGCCCAATCAACACTCAGTTGTTGATTGAGAGCAATATCACACTGCTAGCTTTCAGTATCTGGAGTAGCGATTCTCAACCTATGGGACGCGACCCTTTTTGGGTTGAGCGACCCTTTCACAGGGGCCGCTGAAGGCCATCGGAAAACGTAAATTCATTGAAGTTATGAAGGTTGGTTAGTTGTGTATCCTTTACAGGACGTTGCAGAGCCAACCCAAACAGCCCCTGGCTGTTGTGTGGTTTTACTAGGCAAATTAAAGTCCAGTAGTTTGCCACTGATTTCTGGACGGTCGGCTTTCTTGATACCACTGTCGAAACCAACGCAAGGGGCATGGCCCGCAGATGGGATTGAACCCGGCATCCCGGCATTACGAAGCGTTCGCATCGACTTAGCCACGAAGCCGACGAAGTTATGAAGGAGCAGCGACAATAATTGTATGATTGGGGGGTCGCCACAACATGAGAACCTGTATTAAAGTGTCGCTGCATTAGGAAGGTTGAGCACCTCTGGTCTAGGGAATTACCTGGTAACCACTTAAGATTATTTGCCTCTGGCCTTGATTGAAAGAAAAATGCGAAGAAGAAATACAGTGCTTACTGAATTATGTCATGACCAATGGTATGTTTAGAAAGAACACTTTCATTATTGCACATAAAAGTAA